CACACACACACACACACACACACACACACACACACACACACACACACACACACACACACACACACACACACACACTGATACACACTGATACACACCACACACGCACGCACGCGCGCGCGCGCGCGCGCACACACACACACATACACGAGCGGCGGGGGGGGGGGCGTGCATGCTCTGTAAAGCACCGTCCGGTCATTGGTCCCAAGCACCTGCTGCTTCGTTACTTTAATTCTAACAGGTTGCGACGGTGAGACCGCCCTCTGCTTCTATCGTGTCACATATATAGAGCCGGCGGCACGACTCGCTGCGCATTTCAACGAGCTGAACCCGTGTGCAGAGAATTGCGATCGGTCAGCAACGCGCGTTCATCAACCGCGTTCAACGCGCGGTCATCAACCGTACATCCACCAGAAGAACTATCTTCCGTATTACATATATATATAATTATATATAATATATATATATATATAGTGTTTACCCTGTTGACACTAGTTTTAGGCGGTTGGTAATGTTACGTAAACGTACTTCCAGTGCAATAGTGAAATAATTCTGTATGCGTAGCCTTTCTCATGAGTCCCTATAGAACTAGCATCAACGTGGTATTCGGAAAACGGCATTTCCTCTTTGCTGTCTTCTTGTTGTTATGTATCGTTAGACATGTAAAGGGCTTCTATCTGTAGATGATGCTTCGAATCCAGGTTGCCATGCTGGCGACGTCGGCGTAGATGGAGGGCTGTCGGGAGAGACCGCACTTGTGCTGGCTGCTCAGCACTCCCTTCACTTGCCACGGCGCCTCGGGCGAGTCCTGACACAGCAGAGGCGCTCCTTCGTCGTGCTACAGTGGAGAAACACATGCGTCGCTTACTTCCACACATTCGTCGTGATTAATAATGTCACAAGTGCATAGAATGCACGAGCTTAAGATTCCCATGCCCAAGCCGTAAGTTGTGCACCAATAAGTGGGGGGGGGGTAACTATATAGGACCGACTGCTGTGTAATATAGACGCACAAACATGAACATGTATGAGCATGTAACATGACCATAACCGCGAGCCTAACCTCGTTCTAGAAATAACCGTATTCATACGCATATAGAATATCATGAAAAAATTAAAAAGCATGTGAATGTTAATTACCTATGTTGCTTTTAACTATGTTGAACTTAAATAACATGGCGATCATTGCGGCACCTTACCGTATTATATTATATTATATATGTATATATATACATATATCAAGAGCTAATAAATACCTTTAGGTACCTTTAAATATCTTTAGGTATTTATTAGCTCTTGATATATATATATATATATTGGATGTTAAACGGTGGTGCGTTGTGCGTGCGTGCGTGCGTGCGTGCGCGCGTATGTCTAAGCGTATTCTTACATCGCACAGTGCCTTGTCTTGCTGTTGGTAGCCAGCGCACACGGTTCGCTCCGTTAGGTGGCCGTTGTAGTGCTTCGTCTCGTTACAGCTGTCGCTGCTGACGACGGGCACCGTCATGAAGTTCAGGTGCGTGTTGAAAGAGCCCGAAATTCCTGCGAAACAAAGATGGCGGCGATCGCGATTTTCGGTATTGCCGTAAACAACGCATGCGGAATACTGTCTTAATTAATTCGCAGATGTTATTTTTGCTTCAGCTGGTCTATGTACGACGTTCTCTCAATATTGAAACACCATGTTATACATCTATGACACGCCAATGTTGCTCGTCTGGAGAATATCATCATGGTTGACATGCCATTACTAGCGGCTGGCAAGATCAGAGTTGGCAATGTCGTTCGCTAAACGTCGACTTTGCGCTAAGCCTTCTGTCGGGATATATTCCGGCGTACAGAAGTGATTTACTAGTAACCAGTCTACTAACGAATTTGTATTAACTCGAGTTTGAGAGGCGATTGAGGAGTCATCGCTTACCTCCCGGATTGGTGAAGCCCCATCCGGCAGTCAGACATGTGTCAGTTTGCGATGCGGGTTCGTTCGGCAGGCAGGCTGCCTGAATGTACTCGTTGAGGTTGAACGGCAATGCCAGCTGTATTATGGCGATGTCATAGTCGGGGAAAAATCTGAAAATCGCACGAGAGAGTGACAAATCTTTTTAACGTTGAAATATATTCGTAGGAGAGGAATTGCATCATATCGAATATCTTTTATCTTCGCTTGATATTACTAGTTTTGGGCAATTCGGATTATACGAGGAATTGCTGGATACGCCAAAAACACTATCCACGCGTAACGTACACGTGGCCTTCGTCTAGCCGCATACCTCGTGTAATGCGCCCTGGCGTTGGTGATGATTCTGTGGATGGTTCTAAGCTGTGTGTTCGGGTTGGATGGATTTGGGAATGACGCGCCGGCAGCCACCGCATAGCCTCCTGGGTTCTTGTCACTGAGAAAAATAAACGATGTATAGCGACAACGCGACGTCCACCCTACCACCCGTACTAGAAACTCTCACTTCCTCCCCAATAGAGCCGTAACGAAAGCTTCTCTGTGCTCTATGCCGTGTACTATCACGACGATTACTCCGTAACGACATCGAAACAAACGATAATAATAACAACAACAACAACAACAAGCGACACATTACAGGGTCACTAACTAGTTAAATTTTCTGCACCTAAAAATGTCTACAAAGTCGCGCACCGTGTGCCGTACACTCTTCAATTACAGACTCGTGTTTATACTTACATCTTGGAGATACAGCGCGCAGACGTGAGAAGCCACACGGGCGAGATGATAGTACCGACGCAGATCTGCTGCGTCTCCAGATGATAGATGATGGCGATGGGGGGCAGCTCACCGTCGAGCGCCTGACGTCCGCCGACGACCCGCTTCTGCCGCCGACGCGGGCTCGGTCCGGTGAAGGCACCGCAGCTGTGCTGCTCGCAGGCGATTCGCGCGTACGATGCACAGCTACCGCTGCACGGACACGAACGCAAATCACGATTGCCCGTCAGTCGCGCGGAAGTCGAATAACATGTTGTATACAAGGGCGTCGGAACTGCCGCGGCAGCCGCGGCGACCGCCGCGGCACTTTTTTTAGGCCATAAATTTTCCGTAACCAAAATCTTTCAATAATTTATACCGTCTTTTGGCCGGTACATATATATCATGTATATACGTGTAATCTAGGCCCCTATAAGCGGAGACCAGGGTCAGATGAGGTCAGGTCACCTGTAGCTATAAAATTTTATGATCCAGAACTCTGGCACACATTACTCTGCTCCCCGTCTACTCCTGATTCTATGCAGGCAGCATGCCGTTGCGTTATATTGAGAGAGCATGCTTTGCCCGGGGTCAGCGCGTCAGGCCGTATTCTGGCTGGGTATTCTGGATCGTGGGGGTGGTGGGGTGGGGAAGGATACTGTCAAGAGACTCAAGTCGGCCTTATTAGCCAATAAATGATGTGAGTACCCAAGGAATGTATGATGACAAATTTTTCTTCTGACAAAATCATAATGATTTTAATGAAACAACAACAAGTAAAATATGATATAATACAGAAAAATGTGCAATGAAATGCGGTATTTTTAGGCGTTATTTTTATTTTCCTTTCAAACTCGAGGGGGGGACACCCCCCTCGAGCACCCCGCGTCCCCGCTCCGCTCCGTGCAGCGCTACGCGCTGCACTACGCTATGCGCAGCGCACCGCAATCACTAACACGGGCGTAAATCCCGGGGGGATAGGGGGATGCATCCCCCCTGCTCTTGAAGGAGG